CCCCCCCCCCCCCCCCCCCCCCCACCCTACTCATGATCTAAGCAATCTCCATTCTCTTGAAACGAATTGAGCGTATAGAGGAAAGAGCATTTATTTTAGTTGTGGTGTTGCTGTCACAGACCTTGGTTGCCAAAATTTTGCTTTATTCTTCGACGCTGACCATACAGTGGCTATTGTCTTTTGGTTGGGTGAGAGATCTCTGTACTCACCACCGCTTCTGCTTCCTAACTCAATTAGCAGCATGGAAACACGCTCCAGACTGTTGCAGAACGCCTAAGCTTCCTTGGTTCAGCTATGCCAACGTTGTTTCTTATCAACAAGGGTGTAAGCCCAGAAACCGTATAGAAGAGAATAAAGTTGGGGTATAAAATGAGTGGATTGTATGTAATTTGATATTCGTAAGTATGTGGATATTCTAAAGAACATGCAAATGGCTTAAAGCTTCCCACCGATGAGGGCTATTTTTTATTAACCAATTGATAAGTTCGTAGTCGAGTTATCTATTTTTCCTAATGAAAAATGAGCGGTAACTAATAGGCCTTGTAAAACTGCCCTTAAATAGAATCATATACAATCATCAAAGTATTAAAATTTTTTTAATTCAAAATAAAATTGAAATTTCATTTAGTCCTTTGCTCAATTAAAATAAATTATTGCTTTCGACTTATTTTTACTAAGCTCACAAATAACTTGAGGAACATAATTTCAATTTTCATTGAGCTAAAAGTTTCTCTCATTTTTAATCAAAATTTAATTTAGTTGATGCAATTTTCATTATCATAGAATTTTGTCAATATTGTTTAATTTGAGGCATTTTTGTAATGGCACGCAATATATGTGAATTTGTGTGTATCGACACCAAATAAGAACAACTTTTAAGAAATGAAAATTTCATTTATAGGTAACATATTGACTCATTTAAATAATGCAATAACTGGCTAATTTGCTCTAAATTTTTTAGGTCATTCTTGCAGGTTGTCAATAGGATAGAAGCATGATTGATTGATGCACAATACGCAATCATTTGCCGACTAGCTATTATTTCATATGCCACAGCTGAAGGACACCCACTCCACTGCCCTATAGCCACTAGTAGTAGTAGTAGGTGTTGTAAAATCACATGTATATGAAATGGCAGGTTGCATCGTCTTCTCCTAATTTTTTTAGCGCTAGATACTACGTGCTTCGACCTGTGCATGGAGCATTACGGAATTACTGGTAGCTATCCGTCCTCTTATGGGGCGGTTCAGAACTGGTTAATGGCCTGCTACATTGTTCACTTACAATCTCAGTCACTACAACCGGAGCAGAATAAGGAAATTTCTTACCCGAGAAGGAGCAACGAAATTGAGGTAAATTATGCTTTCATACTCATCATATCTACATACAGCACTAATCTTACAACATAGCCTGATAGACTTAGATACACGTAAATAATAGTTGCACAGAAACACATGTGAAAATGCTGTCCATATTGACAGAAAACTGAAGATAAATAATAGTTGGTAATGTTAGGGAGATAGACTTGCATGCAAGAATGTAGGAAGTTTTAGTAAGCAATTGAAATCACATGTTAAGTCGCCTTGTGACAAGCGAATTGTATGCGTAAATTGTAAGTGCGGGTGTGCAAATGATTGCGCGCCTCAACGCAGTCGTGCCCCACAAACAAACACACAGCTCAGCTTGAGCCCCTATTGGTTAGTGGGAAAGTTGCACAATGCGTTGCAAATTCCAGCAAAAATGGGCGATTTGAAGCACTCTAAGCTCATAATATCTGATCAACGGGATGTACGCGTTTAATCTTTGCAAGGCAAGTTAACCCTAGTCTGTGCTAAATGAACTTTTACAGTTTTTATCAATAATTTCAATTTGATGGCAAGCAAACAATGACCACAAATTCTCTGAAAAAATTGTTTCAAAACTTAAGTATCTTTTATAAATCCGGATGACTTAAGTTTATCTAGATTAATTTCAAACTATAAATAATGCCTAAACTTTTCCCCAGGAATCGTAGTAAATCTGATGGCAAATTGTCAAATAAATAAATCTGATGTTTCGTTTTTTTTCAGGGCAGTTTGCTGTTTTAGGAAAATTAATTAAAATTTTATAATTATATCGGCCAATTTTGTTAAGATTTCATCATTGTTCCAATTATTGACACTTTTTATTAATTTACTCATATCATTATTACAATTATCATGTTGATGGCAGCAGCGAACAGGGAAGCAGTTATTAGCATCAATAATTTATTTCCGAATCTAATAAAAGTATAATAACAGTTTGATTAAGCGTTTCAAGAAATTTCCTGCAGGAATCCTATCACATTAGGGTCAAGAGAGCCCACGAAGGCTTCTTTAATTGCCAATCTCTATTTGTATATGCTGCCTCTATGTCGTGCTAAGTTAATTGCAAGACATGATCCAATAGATACAAATTCGCTTTTATTGCGAAATCGCCAATAATCATTCCCATTTAGGTATTTCACAATGATTGCGCAAATAGTTTTGGAGATTAAGGCGATGAATTTCAATGCTTAAATTCGAAGGACGTTTATGACTCAAACAAATTTCAGTAAATTTAAATGAAATTGGTGATGCATTGAGGAGTATTGCGTGGGATACAATCGATCTTATATATAATCACTCCTTTAGGCTCCGCCGCAAGTGGAGATGGTCGTTTCTGAAACTGAATCGGAGGTTTCCGGTTCGTTCTCCGGTTTCTCAGTGCTATCAGGTTCGTCACCCTGTTCAAGCACATCAGTATCATCATGTGCTTGCGATCTGCGAATCATGAAAGACATGTCGAAACTTTCTGAGCTAGAAGACAAGCCGCCTAAAGAATGTCATGATGCCTCAAAAACTGGTCGAAGTTATGATGAACGAGAAATTCAAAGAAAAGAACGCAACAATGCGGCATCACGTAAGTCACGAGCTCTTCGAAAGCATCGATTTCAGCAAATGTTACGGGAAACTGAACGCTTGACCAACTCCAATGCCCGACTGCGAGCCTTCGTGGAAGAATTGAATTCCATCATGATTGAATCTCGGGCCATACTTTTCAAAACTTTTGCTGGCTCAGTCACCACTGATGTAGCTTCTATTTCCCATCAGCGGACAAATCAGCCAATTCAACAGCAGCAACATATTAACCACCACAGTAAATAGCCATTACAATCACCATTTAGAGAATTTGACTGCTACTGCCTGACATATTTTTTATCTGGGCACTTTCATTTCTTCCCCTTCCTTCCTTTACAATGCTATAGATCACTTTCCGTTAAATATGATTTCTAAAATTGGCATCCTTTTTAACCTTTTTTGAAATTTTTCCCATTCGCAGGCACGCAACCTTTCGTTGTACTTACTCTGATAAGAAAAAAAACATTTTAAACATTTATAACAGCTTCTGCTTTTTTAATCGATGTATCACGATAATAGTATCAAGTAGCATGAAATGGCGGATGCTCTTATGGTTAGCGTTTTATTATTATTGTTGACATAAAAAGTGCTTTGTTGGTGTAAGAATGAGTCACACGTGATAGGAAAGGATTGATTCACTTCGCCCATCTCTAGAAATTAATGCAACGAGGAAAGTCCTATTCATCCATTATAAAAACTGCCTCAAAAATAAAAAATTAATTTGGTACTTGATTACACATTCTACATGTTGCGTATAAGTAGAAGAAGCACTAGAACTATTTTCGTGACATGAGTAATGCGAAATATATTTGGACTAGTAAAGTTAAATTTTTGTTCTACTTAAAACGATCAGTAACAAGTGAAATTGTCAAAAGCCTGCTTTTAATTTGATTTCCCATTTGCCGCCCGACTGTACCACAATAAAACAGACGTCACTGTATCCAGCCGAGATCTCTTTGAAAGCAAAATAATCAAGTTTTTTAATTTTTATGTTTGAAATAACAATCGCACAAAGTAAAATGGTTGCCATTAAAACCAGACAATCAAAATAATGTTAGTTATTGACAAACAGTACTTCTCGACCAAAATGTCGCCCATCATACAAAGTATAAGGACCAAATAAAGTCTAACGTAATAGGCAAGGACAAAGGAGAATCAAAAGCATTTTTGTCAGATAAGTGAATTATTTTTACTGAAAATCAATTTTGTCATATTTATAATAAAATAATTTTATTACAGCAATATTTTACACTCAGTTAATTTATAATAGGAAACAGGCAAATGAGATCAAACATGTTTTGAGTTCTTCATTCAAAGCAAACAAAATAGGGTTGTTCAGTAATATACAGTTGATATCAAAACGTAAAGGTGGGAAATCATAAGCACTTGTTATCAAAGGAAAAAAGTTTTCATAATTCAATCTGAACTATGTTCAAAATATCATAATTCATATAATTTCACATGAAAAATATGAGGAATAACTTATATTTCAATAATACTGAGAGGAAGATTTGAGATATTAATTTGCCCAATGGAATATTTTATGACTATGCAAAAGTATATGATCGCAGTGATATCTGGACTTTTAAAGACGGCTTTACTGCAGAGGTTCTTATACTAGTTCGTTTGTAGCCCGCCGTTTGGCTAATAGTCCTTCTAATACAAGTGCCCAATTAAACTGGACGCATTCAATGTTTTGAAGCCGCCAGGGTCTATTTCTTATTCACTGAAGTATTCATCTCGGAAATTTTCCACAAAGTTCTCCATGAGCAGCCGTCTAAAAGTTCAAATGAACAGATTTAAACATTACTAGCTTTGGAGACCTTATTCGTTTTTACGGCATGTCATTTTTCTTGTTCTTTGTTTGTGGGCAATCATGTCAGCTATCTGAAAAAGAAAACTGCGTTAGTCTTTGTTAAGTAGGAAGATATCCATCTCCGATTTGCCTGGCCCCATTCCCATTCGTTAATAGATTTGATCAGATGATTAGAGAAAAAATTGCTTTGAATTCTCTATGCGGATTTTCATTTTGCTCCCATATCTGTCTTCAAGGAGCGCATTAATGTTGTCATCTGACTAACCTTTAGGCCAACCTATTAAGCGTCGTGCTTCCTTATGAATTCGTTTGAAAATTGGTTGGCATAATTTCGATCGTCTGACTAGTAGATATTCTTGTCACTGTCGAAATTGCTGCGCGATTTTCCGCATTGATTACCAGGTTCCTTAAAAGGGTTGTCAAGAGATGACTGACGAATTACTCAGGGACCCCTCAAATAAAAGAAACTTAAAATGATAATTTTGACTTTAAGAGATAGCGGCAACTTCAATAACACATTTGACCGGGTTAACGAGTATCATTCCACCTATCATACTCTTTCTAAGTTTTCAAGACTTTTCAGTAAATAATTCACTTAGAATTAAAACCGTTTCTTAGACAGTAAGATTAATAGAAATTCATGGATAGATGAGAGTCTTGATATTTTCATTTTCAGACATCTTAAATTGACTTATCAACAGTCACCAGGGCTATAAGCGCGATCGTTTGGGAAAATGTCCTCAAAAATTCAAAATCAGTTGGTGAAATTTTGGTCAATCACTGGGATATAGTGAAATTCATAAAATTGTGTCATCAGTGAATCCATATGTAGTTTTCATGTTCATATAGTTGGAAAACCGCTCTCTACACTGTTGCAAAGTTTGTCTGATTCTCCAGGAAAATTTTAATTTTGCTGGAAAGTTTTGAGTTAACTTTATTCGATAAAATTTACATTAATACTCAAATCTGGGGTTCATTTTAACCTATAGTTGCTCTAACGATAACTTATCAAAAGTTGCCCATGGAATAATTAATATATTCGGCCATATTATCAATGAGCGGATTAAATGTAAGTTCAGAAAATTGTGAACAAGGATAGGGGAGAATATATATTAATTATTCTCACTAATAACTTCACCGAGATAGGAGAAAATCATTTTATCAATGTCAAATATTGCTGACTTTCATGTTTTTATTTTCGCATTGAAAAACACTTATACATAGGTAAGCTTTTTCACTTCAAGTTGTGCGCATGTTTTGTTGTTTAGTCTATATAACAAAAATTTTCCTCTCAGTTTATCGTCTTTGGAAAATATTGTCGAAATGTATTTCGATTAACTAAGAAAACAATATTTTGTATGCTTTACTTAATTTAAAATCAGTAGCGTAGTTTTCAAAGTATTTTTACTTTTACAAATTTCTAACAAATTTACAGAATAGATTTTGTTAGTATCACCAAGTAAATAATTGTCAGTGAAAGGCAATGATTCACTATTTTAACGTGAACTTAGAGACATTCTATATCAATGCCAGATCACTGGTTTGGTGTTAAGTGTGATTAGCAATGACATTGATGTTTAGACAATCAATGTGATAGATACTAGAATAATGTAATTGAGACGTGAAAGAGATTTAAATTTAATTATTTTAAACGACTTGAAGTGTTTACGCTTCACAAAAGTCCCATCATTTCCAAAAAACTCAATAAATGTCAGATATCATGTTGCAAATATATGTTATCGGACCGAAATTTTAAGCACTTTGCGGAAGCGCCACTTTTAAAAGTTTAAATCAAATTGATGTCATAAACTTTAGAAATTCCCAAATATTTTATGTTTTTTTAATGCACTCCCCCTCTTTTGCTTACTAGCAATGTGAATTCACATTTTAGGGCTTTTACACTAGTGATTAATTGTATTGAATTTATCAATATTTTATGAATAAAGAGAAATTACGTCACTTAGTCTTCATTAATATGGTACAATAACGCCCAAATAACAAATTTATACGTAATTTAATTGCAACACTTGTAGAAATGAAGTTTTGCATTTAATTAGAAAGCAGAATATTTATTAGGTTATTGAAATCTCTATCGATGTCCGAAAGCGCCAGTAAACAGAAAAATTAGGATGATGAGAATGTGTTTCTTCGTTAATTTTTATTAGGAAAGTTAAACTACATAGCATTTAGAGTAATTTCATTATGATGGAGATCAGCATAATTGAAAAATGTCATAGAGGTGAGAACTTACCATACATTAAAACAATCTTACGGTATAACATTTTAAAGGTACGTACCTCGTGGAAGAAATTGTTAAAGGCTATATTGTTAGGGAAAATGCGCACTTCGAATAAAGGTGAAGAAATCCACTTTGAAAATTCCCTATATCCTTTTGTGAGAGAGAGAAAGCTAGCAAAATGCAACAACGTAATTACTACTGTCATGGCAACATGGTTTGAAGTGATAAAGCGTGCGCAATGTGATGAAACTCGTCTCAACACGTTACCAAGCAAATTAGAGAAAAAAAGAAATTTTGCACTCCGCCCTTACTAAATACAAATGATGCATACGTAAGAATAGAATATGCACCACAAAGTTGTTTAATCAGCTTAAGTAGATTCCGTGATTTTCTTATGAATGTTCTTTATACCATAAAAGCACTCAGACCCAACTTAAGAAAACGTGAATATTGGTTTCTTTTTCTAAGGAGAAGAGAGAATATTCAGTATGCTGTCATTCCAAATCATTAGTAATCATGGATCCTTGTGTAGTTGAATAAAATTTAGTTTGTTTTCAGTACCAGTTCTTGCGTTCTGCTTGATGTGTAGGAAAAAACTGGAACATTACAAGGACATATCGACCATTATCGGTCAACAAAGAGCAAACTGAATATGATATAAAAGATTGACATTAATTTTCTTATAACTTATAGTGATAGTACTGTGGTGATCTACAGACTTACCTCCACGTGGTACATCTTGGGCAACGTATACTCATACAGCAAAAGTCTGTAAAACGACAGTTGACTTCCGACTTTAAATTACCATGACCCAACTGTATTTCATATTCGACGACTTTCACAGTACTCACCTCACCTTGCCTTTTTCTCTACCTCCGTGTCTATCTCTCTTTCATCAGTGAATCACTCTTCCGTTCCCCCTCTCGAATTTTCCTCACTTTGATGTACCTCTCCTCTGTGAAGTCCAAAGGCAACTAAACGGCTAGTGATAACTATTATAAAGCCTGTCATTTGATATAATTAAATATTGATATTAGGGAAATAATTAGCTTTATAGTTCTTGTCATTAAGCAACAAGTTAGTTTACGACTTATCCATTAAGTCACGAATTTACCTTAATCCAAGGAAAATTGGGTCAGAATTACCTGAGGTGACTCATAATGCTCTAACAGTTGACTTAATATATAATGATGATCAATAAGTGAAATCGCCATACAACGAGATTATGCGTGCAATGCAATGCAATGATTGCATCATATGCAGTAAGAACAAATTCGCCAGAAAGGCTCGCGTAGTTATCGACTTTTTTTTTGCCTAGCACTAGTTCTTTGTCATCGCGATAAAATCATTAAAAATACCGCTTATGAAGGAAAATTTTGCCATCCTTCTTAAGGGATGGAAGTAAAATTTGTATGGTTATATTTTTCAACCAAATAAACTAATAGGACAGCAAAAGATTACCAAGGTGAAAAGGAGCAATTTAGACTGTTCCATGGTTGCTGTTAATATTGAAATTTGCTGTTTGCGCAAGTTCGATTGAATTGAATAATCCGTAATAAATAGATGTTTAATTTCGTGAATTTAAAGTTTTGTAATTTAATGTGACTAAGAAATTTGATTGTGTTTACTTTTTTCATTTCTCATCAGACTTATCATGATAGTAAAGTTTCATGTTTGTTAATATACACAAAGGTATAGCTAGCGTTCATTTTCGAAAACTTATTTTTAATTTGTTATAGGTGAATAATAAAAATTAAAATATTTAATAATTGATTTTGGTAAAGTTGCCGATTAGTATTTATTTTAATCGTCAAAAATCATTTAAAATTGAACTAGATTTGAAGTATCATAACGGGTTTTATTATATGAAATTAATCTATTAAGAAAGCTACGTAGTCAAAATATATTATTTGTGTGCAAATAAATTTCCTAATTTCTTTATTACTAAAATTTAGCTCTATAGATATATACGAGCAATTAAAAATCCTTTTGATTGAAAAGAAATATCAAATTCTACTTTTCGTAAATTCGCCACAAACGGTCGTGTTATCGCCTTACAAAAATAAGGTGCTGATTCATTTCTCATCGATGATGTAATATTTTCAATTTACGTCTAAATGATGAAACAAGCATGTGGTTGCTTGGCAACGTAGGCAACTTTCTACACGGTTATTGGTTTGCTTGATTTCAATGTCAACCCACGCCTACTAGCAATGGCCTTTAAAACCCCGCGTAGCAAGCCATGCACCTCACTTGTTGAATTGCGAGTTTGAAGCTGGAATCCACTTAATTGTGATCTAGCTGCCCGGAAAATTCAAAAGACAAGCCGTCAACATTAGACTTCAACGTATTTCTTCCAATACCAGGAATATAGAAGAACTATGCTCGGAAAATTTGACAGTTGCCCAAAAGTCTCACTCATCAAATCCTATCACAATGACGAGATGTACGAAAATCCGACAAATACGGCCTGTAAAGACCCGCATGATTGGCTTGGATGCTCAAGGTTCGTTTATATATAATAAATTTTTAACCAATGAGATAGTTTTTATGAATAGTTAATAGTTGAACCGATAAAGATGAAGTAGTATGATATATTTTCAATTTAGACGAATTTGTCACTTGCGATTTCGCCAATTCTTACGACCCTAGCATCGAAGAGAAGCTTGGATCTTTCGAAAAAAGTCCTTACTCCTATACAATTGTGGATACGCATTTCAAAGAATTTGATTACTGCCCGGAAATTGCAGCTAATATTGAATTAGTATCGTCTTCGTCATTGAATGCAACATCTTTTAATCCATACCTTAATCTTGGAAGCTACTTACGTTCTATTGAATCTTTTGAAGAAGAAAACGAATATTTAAGCAATACAATGTCTAATTTTTCACACAAACTACCTGAACTTGATAAGGACTCCTTAACTGAAGCTCTTAATGATATTGAAAATTTAACATCCATGCAGTCTACTTCGGAGACGGAGGCAATGGAACTCGAAAGGCTTGACACCGAGGAAGATTTCCCCACTCCACTTACCAGTCCTCATCTTCATAAAATCTTTTCCAATGACAGTCCTGATGATACTGCTGATGAATCTGATTGGGAAGAAATATTCTCACAACAGAACAAACTAATTGAGCAATTCGTGCAGATTGTAGATGTAAGTATTCATTTTATTACTCTTTTGTGTGATAACCTGTCCTTGTCTATTATAAATATGGATTTAATTTTATTTTAAAGAATCAGTCAACACGTCAAGATGTTGTGATGTACTCAACAAGTCAAGCCTCCCCACTTCGAGATAGTGAAAGCCTGCAGTGTTCCACAACTCAGTGCAACTTTGCCGAGGATAGGGAAAAGGACAGACGACAAAGGAATAACATTGCCTCTCGGAAGTCTCGAGCTATGAAAAAGGAGCGTTTTGCCGCCATGCAAAGCGAGATTGATCAGCTTCGAGCAGCCAATCAAAAACTGAAGGCAATGGTGGATGAATTGGATTTGGCTATTGATGAAGCAAAGTCCATTGTCTTACCTCCTAAACCATAGCTGCATATTTAATTTATGTAGTCACTTGTATATATATTTTGTCGTTTTAGCATTTAAATATAAATTCACTTGATATATTTCTTGAATTTGATAAAAGTCGAGGGAAATTCGTTTCAAATGGCTTAGTCACACCTACACACTGGCTATTAACACGACAAAATGACAAACACCCATTCAATAGTCTTTCGTAAGTGCGGAGCTTAGAAAGTGATGCCAGTACAAGTAATAAAGTTCAAGATACGTCGACATTATTTAAACTCCAATTTTAAGCGTAATTATATTCTTTATTCTAAATTAAATAAAGCACTCTCAAATAGTCTCTAGTATAATTAACGTCTACAACACCGATAATTAAAGCGGTATTTTTAATTCATCCAGAAACATCTTCCCTATTTTGGCAAAAAACTGTTCTCTAAACAAGCTCTCGTTCATGGCATCAACTCCTTGGCCACCTTCGTTTTTCTTTATCATGTTGAAACAAAAACTCAAATATATTTGCCAACTATTTACTCCGATAAAAGTAATTTTCGACAAATATGGTGATTTAAATGGAATGCTTGCAACTGTAGCATGAAAATCTGCCTCAGAGGTTGAAAAATTTTAACATTTCAAGGCCTCTTTTTAATAGGTCATAATATTTTTGACGTAATACAGCTCTATCAACTTGGATTTCCAATTATTTTATTAGGGAAATTTGAATTCCCAGAGCGCAGTGAAATATTTAGGTATTAAATTGAGTGGTATTGTTCAATTATAAACTGAATCCGTGAAATTTATGAAAATGTGGCAATAAATCAGGTTGTGATTAAGTGCTTTCCTTCATCCATCTACCTAATTTTAAAGAGTCCCTGGGTTTTAAGTTTCCCCTAATTAGAGAAAATTAGGCCTGAATTACGGGTTAATAGAAATATTCGACTACCTCAATTTTGTTAATCAAACTTGACCAGCATTTGGTTGCGTCTCTTTCATCAGTTTTGCTAGTCAAGGTCAAAATCATTCACTTCCAATTCTAATCGAAAGTCCGGCATAAAACAGGCCAACGGAAAATTACCTTTAAGAAAGTAACCTTGCTTTTACATACGAATGGGGCCATTTTCAGTTTTGTAGTAAGTTTTGCTTCGTTAACAATCAGTTACTTACACCAATATCACCATTCAATTTATTATCGAAAGTACATACTTTTACCTTTGGGGGAGTTAATATTTTACGTCTGATAAATTTTTAGGTTTAGAAATGTGTTTACTCAAAAATTACTTATGCTCCCTCCCCCCTCCCCACAAGAACACATCACGAAATATTAATCCGTTGAAATCTTTCACGTTTTTGGTCTCGAGGACAAATCTCTTTTGATGGAATCGTAGCAGGCTATTTGATGGCCATTTTAGGTAACTCCAACTATGATGACACTTAACCTTACAAGCTACTGAATTATTCTGAAAAGAAAACAGATTTATATCCATCAATCAATTTGATTTTAGTCACAGGCTAATTTCTTACTTGCGAGTGCATTCGACTTGCCTAACATAATTTTCGCACGGTTACTTTGACTAAAATAGCCAAATAATTAACTGCGTCACAATGGTATTCAGTCGAAACTTCCAAATTCATTTATCATATTAGTTTATTCACATTTATTGACAAGTTTTAACTTTAAATATATCTCAAACAGCTTAAATTAAGCCTTTTATGCATTAATTTATTTTAAACGCTTAAGTGATATCCGCAGTTATACAAGTGAAATGTTTCTCTTATTTTCCCCTGTTTTAGATCAGTAAATCCTGCCCCACTAGATGTCAAAATCGTGAATACGTAGCACTTTTGTGATGCCTGTCTGCTCACAGGTATGTCATTTGCCGAAAGGTAATCAAGATCCCTAATACCTCTGCAGCATGTGCTTATTTCAGACAAAGAGTGCTCTAATTGGTCTAACTTCTGTGAAATTGGAATCGTGTCTAAGTAAGGTCCTAAAATTAGCAACGCATGCGGATATATTTTATGCAAATTTTGAGTGCTATTAACAATGACAGCGGCCTTGAAATAAAATTGTGAGTGGGAGGTCGATCTTTAAGAAGAGAGTGAAGCATTAATTATGTGCATAATAAAATTACTCATTCTTCTCAATACAAATTTACGTTTTTCAATAACTTTTACCAAAATTAGAGAACGATGCTCTCTTTCAAATAGGATTTGATTATTTACTAGAAGTGAGTTAGGCATTTTACTCCTTTAACTTCATTTCAAACTTGCTTAGACTTGTCTTTTAAAGGAATCAAAAAAAATTATTTCCAAATCTCAGCGTAGCTGAATTTTTTGATTAAGCTTTCGGTATTATTTGAAGCCATTTTATTCATCTCATGACGTTTTCTCAATTTTAGAACTAAATTTTCATTGGAGTAATTACCATGCAAACATTAAGTAAAATATATTCTCTCAATCTTTATTATTTGCTATATTGGAACTATAATTAATTCCTTCTCCCACTGCCATTACTGATATAATCACCTTCTCACCATAATAATTACTGAATAAAGAACCTTCATTCAAAACTAGCCAGTGACTCACGACTGACTTTACACCAAACTCTGCTCTCAACCTCAACTTCTTATACACGACATATATATAGACGCAACTATTGAAGGTCATACACTCTTCTAATTTGCTGTCTCTTTATTGTTGTCTCTTAGTTCCACATCTAGAACTTTGGATAAAAAGAAGAGTTTCAACCGACATAAGAACCGTTGCTGACACAATGACCTATATATTGGCATCTGACCTATTTAAAAATAGGCAGAGACTTGAATTCACATCACGACTCAGAGGTATAAGGTTATTGTCAGAAGAAACTCTTAGCATCGCTTAAAACAATCATCAGAATCTCCAAAAATTTTAAGTGTAAATGAAAATAAAATAAAGCTTTACCTGGGTTTCAAACCTTATCCATCTTTTGAATGATCGAGCAATGCACATAATCAAACATTTTGTCAATTTAGTTTATAGTTACTATTGATTAGCCCACTATTTTAACTTCAAGAGATTTCACAACTTTAGGCAACGCAAATTAAACAATTAACATCCAAATTGGAGTCAAACCATATGCAGCCAATCATTTTTTTATTTATTAAGCACACAATTTTGAGAAGAAACAGTTTCTTGGTGATTGACGATTTTGTTAATTAGTTAAAGCATTAACGTTAATATCTTTAGTAACTAATAGTTACAGAAATCGAGTGCATAACCATATGCGGCGAATTGATACACTAATAAACCCTGAATATGCTCAAAAATACCTATGGCACAGTCTCCTTTGTCTGGAAAGACTCCCAGAACTAGCTAAGCTACCACAAAGTTAAAGAGGAAACAGACGTATCACACGGAAACCGTTCATTTGGGATGTGTGCGAGTTGGTGGGTGCCCTGGCAATGAGCTTGGTCATTATATCAATATGGCGGATTTAATAAACCAGGCTAGGAATATTGACTGGAATTTGGCTGGACGTTCTCCACACTCATGACCACACTTGCTTCCTAAGCGAAGTTGCACGGCGCACCTTCAAGCCAGTCTGGGTGTGATTAGAATTACTTGTCAGCGGTAAAGTGGTGTGTCCCACACATATTTAGAAAATTCAGATCAAATTCAACCTTTAATTATATTGATTTCGGGGTGCTCAACCCTTGCTGGTTTTCTAAACAATTATTCTTAAGAATACGATAGACTTACCTCCACGTGGTGCACCCTGGACAACGTACACGTGGTGCACCCTGGACAACGTATCTTTGTACGGCAAAATACTCGGCATTCGTTTTTGACTTCGATTTATTATGATTAGCCCATACGTTTTTGACTTCGATTAATTATGATTAGCTTTGAACCGATTAATTATGATTAGCTTTGGGCTATAAGAAAACATTATGATTAGATTGAAAAAAGGCTATAAGAGAAATCGCCCTTATTAGCTTTGAAAAAGGCTATAAGAAAAATCGCCCTCGCAGGAATCACAACGTCTTCAGATCCTCCAGTGGAATGCTGGATCTTTGATGTCACAGGACGACAAGATCCAAATACAGAAAATCCTACAAATCTATGATACAGACATTTTCACAATTATGGAAGCTAACATTTCGGATGA